ATCAGTAGTCTTCAATTCAACCGCCTGCAGCTAATTACCTACCCCGGCGGTCAGTACCCCCTGACGCTGATCAGATTACTGACCCCAATTTTGTTCCCCCTCCCCCCGAGCTTGACAACTGCTCGGTTATGTCTACCAGCCCGCATATTTGACTTATTTACATAACGAAATAAGCCAAAAGGCCTGAAGAGAATTGATCGAAAACAAACGCATCCACGCTAATTCATCTTTCGATTAAAAGTCTTTTAACTTTCTATCGGGGCGTAGGAGTATGGGGAGGAGGGTAGTAGTAGGCGGCGAGGGTAATGAAGAGTCAGTGTCAGGAGGGGGGCGGGGGGATGATAGAAAACGTAAAGTTGTGGGCAGTTATTCGACTATCTTCGATCATTTAAGCGTGCGGAGGTTGTACCAGGTTCTTCTGAGCGCGCATGACTGGCTTTCATAGCCTATTGCTGGTAGAGACTGGTATAGTGGTTTACGATAGTTGGTGGGACCTTATAGTCAAAAGAAAAACTTCGTTAAAATCCCCACGAGGCCCGGCATCAGTAAGATGTACTAAAATGGCGCTGTTTATGCTCCAAATTTCGCTCTTTTCAGCCATTCCAACGATTTTCTCGTATAGGCGTCGACTAGCGCGATCGATAAAACCTAATTTACGGAAACCAGTGAAGGAGTGCAAGCACATTGAGGTGGTCTGTGATGGCAACCTATCCTTACCTTCTCCGCATAAAATAGTGCTAATATAAATTAATATCTGAACTATTATTGCTAAGACAATTCTTTATAAAGCTGAATCAAGGCGTCCTCCTGGAAGTTCACTCACCGCGTCTCCTTAAAAAAGGAATAGGAGAAACAGAGTTCTCCTTTCTGCAGTCAATGTGATGAATTTTTCTGATCACCCGACAATACTCTTTGGAATAACCCTGTTAGCATATCCGTTCTCGCACAGTGTCATTTAAGATAGGTTATGTTCTTACTGACTCTGATATTTTTGGAAACCTCGATTGGTGAGGTGCAAAACCCTTTTTCCTTCCGCATTTCATACCCTGGGGGGTGAGTACAGCTGCCAAATTCTTCTCTGTCCTCCTCGGTTAGTGTGTAAAGAACAGCCGCACGCTGACACACGGTTGTACTTTTACAATGATACTTTCCAATAGATTCTCACGGAATCTTTCGAGGGTTTCGCCGTTAATAACCGTACGACAACGCCTCAGCGTTCTCCGATAGTTATTTGGATACCTGGATCTCTCACTACAGTCCGCGACAAATGTGGCCATTGGTTTTACCTTCACAAGTCCGGTGCGCAAGCGTAGGCACCCAGTTAGCGTCTTTAAAACAACAAGATCTTTGGACTTTTGTCATGTCGCAAAAATTGCCTTTCATGTGTTTTTGAAGGTTCCACCAAAATATCCGAAACCAGGGGGCCTGCGTCTACTAGCAAAAGCGGAAACGATCACCATCAGGTTACGAAAACTGATGTTGTGTGCACAAGCTCTGCGCTTGCCCTGGTCAAAGGTCTGACGACAACTCTCCGTGCCGTCCCGCTCTTCACTGCCCTGAATACGATTTAAAATAGCTCGACAACCAGCCGACTCTACTTCATCTTTCGAGCGTCGATAGGGATTTGAGGATTGTTTGTTTATGTAGGCAGACAGGCAGAACATTTCCCCCCTGTACTTTATTTATTTATTTAGTTGAACATAACTGTGAGTCTCAGGAAAACTGTCACACCTTCCAATCTTCTTGTCTTTGGTAGAAGTTGACCTATTGAATGATGACCACTCGAGACTACAGAAATAAGTCCCACTATGCATGTTGGCCATCACGAAATTCAAGTTCATTTATGTTATGGGCAGTTGACTTTTGACAGCCTTTAAATATGCTGATGTCTTTGTCGTTTGTATCATCTCTTTTTTCGATAATGGCCGTGATAAGTAGTTTGACGTCTCACAGCACCCTCCGTATCGGCCAAATTAGAAATTGTGACCACTTAATGTCACCGCTGTAAGCCAGAGCACAGCCCAAGAAGTTGCTTGTAGTGACGGTGTTCCAGAACATATCAGATAGATGGGCAAAAA